GCAAACCTTGGACCACTTTTGGAATCACCCAGTTTCAAATGCCACTTCAGGTAAGGCACAGAGAGGGAAGAAGATGCTCTTCGTGAACCTCAACCCTACTCCATGCCTGACTGTGCATTTCTTTTCATCACAGCCATCTAAAGGCATCAACTGTTTTTAAATATATGTATATATATTTAACAGAATTTATATGCCACTTAATCATCAAAACCTATAAACAGTTTGCATCCGCTATAATTCAGCCTTTAATCCACTAGAAAGGAAAAAGAAAGTCAACGTTTCATTGGTGAAGGGAGTTCGGGACTGAGAGAATAATAACATAAAATAAGCACTCAGGCGAACCCACTGCGTTAGTTTTAAGTCACTGCAGGCTACTATGCTGTAAGGTATGTGCATTTTAAAAGGGAGAGACAGTGACAGAGATCAAAGAGAAGCAAATAATAAGAACGTTCATTTAAGGCTCCATTTCTTTGATGTGCACAGCGCAGAGAAGACAAAAGGATTACTTTTCACGGGGAAATGAAGATGAAGCACTGCCTCCCTTGCACAATATTACAAAGCCCCCTGCAAAACCTTGGCATCAGTTGATAGGTTGCCTGAGTGATGGCATAGCTGTTATTCCCACCACAACTGCTTATCTTTCGGCAAATCTTTAGAAGGACAGAGAGAAAGCAATTGGAGTTCTTTGTTCTCTGCCTGATCTGCACACACACAAAAATGCTTTCCAAGAGTCAGTGGTGCTGTTGCATTCTTAGACATTCTGTAACAACTTTTCAACTACCAGTTAGCAGGAATGTTTGTTTACATCCTGCCTTTCCCCCAAGGAGCTCAAGGTGGCATACGGAGAGAGTTTCCCAGACCCAAACCTCATTCACTTCAGCAAGGCTGTTCCATCCTGCGCCTTCAGCCCATGCCCTGGGTGTTGTATGTTAGATCAACATGCAGTTCCTTTTTTACAAAAAGCAACAACAAATAGCATGTTACAATCTTTGCTTTCGCCACCCCCTGCTTATTTTTACTACATGCTGTGAACCAATTTGTCTGTTGTGCATTTAAAGTTCATCCTCTCCCTATGGGAGAGAAACACTAAAATGGCTGTATGGTTTCCCATAAAATTGTGCAGCACTTGAGGGAAAATACTTTCTCTAAGTTGCTGTGCAAACAGAAACATTTTATTGAAATACAAAGCATGTTCAGAAAAGTTATGATTCAGCCCTCAACTAAACATGCACATCATTAATATGTTTTTTAAATTAAAAAAATTTAAACAAAACACACAAGACCTAGTATAGCAAAGAAAAATGGAGAAATGCACACAAGTTATCCTCAGGACAATTTTAATTTTCAGTATGTTTTCCTGCCATCCGTGCAAAAAATGTGTTTTCATATTACAAGCCTGTTCATACAAAGCTTACTACTTTGAAGTAAGCTTCACTGAGTTCAGTAGGACTAACTTTCAAGTGTGTGTGTACTGGATTGCAGGCTTTGTTACTTTGTAATCTGCTCTTCAACTCTGATGAGTTCCCATAGCAAAAAACAATTTTAATAACAAATAAACAGCAACACCATTTAAAAAAACCCAAGGGGAAAAATACATAATAAATTAACAGCATTATCTGAACAGCAGGGAGCGTAGTCTAAACCACATTTGGAAAGGAAAAGCTGTTTAGCAGGGAAAGCTGTGCCATGCAGCCCTATAGATATGATTGCACAAAGGTAAGCAAAATTAAGTTCAGTGGGACTTACGCATAGGTAAGGGGGTAGTGATTTGCAGCTTTACATTAAAAATTTCATAGCTTAAGGGTGGCAGCAGAGAACTGACTATTGATTGTGGAAGACAATCAAGCCTCTGAAGGAGGCAATGCCTGCAGCAAAGATTTATCAGTTGGCAGAGCATGAGACTGAATCTCAGGGTCGTGGGTTCAAGACATACGTTAGGCGAAATATTCCTGCACTGCAGGTGCTTAGAGTAGATAATCCTGGTTGTCCCTTCCAACTCTACAATTCCATGATTCTATGATTATCAGGCCGCAGTGTGAGCATGAGAGGAGAATCCTTGACCCAGGCTGTACGGAACTATATAAGATCCAGAAGTCAGACATTAACCTTAAAATAAACTGGCAACCAGTGGAACTTCTGCAGCATTGGTGGGACAATGCTCCTGTCAGCTATTACCAATCACCAACCTGACCATTGTATTCTGGACCAAATGAAGTTTCTATACCGCCTTCATGGGCAGCCCCACAAATAGTGCATTGCAGTAGTCCAATTGAAAACTTATCAGAACATGCAGAACAGTACATAAGAACTATGGCCACATGATGCATCTGGCAAGTATGTGTTTTAAAAAATAACATCGAAGGCCCAAGGAGTTATCATTTTTTTTTTCATTACAAAAAAGGAGAGACAAAATACCATTTTATTTATAAGCCACAAAGCATGGGTAGGCAAACAAAAGCCTGGAGGCCGGATGCGGCCCAATCACCTTCTAAATCTGGCCCATGGACAGTCCAGGAATAAGCATGTTTTTACATGAGTAGAATGTGTGCTTTTATTTAAAATGCATCTCTGGGTTATTTGTGGGGCATAGGAATTCTTTCATTATTATTTTTTTCAAAATATAGTCTGGCCCCCCACAAGGTCTGAGGGACAGTGGACCAGCCCCATGCTGAAAAAGTTTGCTGACCCCTGCCACTAAGTCATTAAAAATATTACAGAGGTTTACAAACGCTGTATGTCCCTCCTATAACCAAAGTGTTCAGACAAACCTAGAAATCCCACTTCACAGGAAATCAAATGCAATGGTGCAATGAAGCAAATATAAACTTAACCTTCTAAACTAAGCTACCAACATAATCCTGTGTCCATCAAAACTGTACTCTCAACTTTTATCAACTTCAAACTGCTACTGGATTCCCAGCACAAACAAAGATCTTCAAGCCCTTGCCACTCTGCTCCTTGTCTATAGCTCCCCTAAAGCCCCATTACTTTCCCTGCTTCATTAGCAGGCAAGAGGAACAGGGGATCTAGCCCAGAGTGACAGGCAATGCCCCCCACAGTTTGACGCACAAACTTCTCCAGAAAGAGGCTTTGGTAGCTTATGGCAACCAAGGAGCCAATGACAGGCAACAGCAGCTGGTGCTGCCATGGCGATCCCTGCTCTTCTCCATGGCAGCAAGAGCGGCAGCAGGAGAATATGGGAGAGCAGCGAACACTGACTGCCAAGCTGCTGCACGGTCCACGCTGTGTGTATTCTTTAAGGGGAAATGGATAGACAAGGGGAGGGCAAGAGGAAGGGGAGGAGAAATATTTGAGATGCCTTATGCAAGAAACCACTGCACTATCCCCTCCCCCAATCAATTTATGCACCGAAGTTGCAAAAACAGACTTTAAAAACAAAATCAAGCAAACATGTAGAACTCTGGCTGCCTATCTCTCAGCCAAATTTCCCCAATTCCTTCTCCAACTTCACCTTTTTATTTAATAGGTTCATGATCTGTGCTTCTATTCATCCAGTAACGGCTGCTTCACACAAGACAAAAAGCCCTGTGTGGACAGGTAAGTTCCTTGTTCTTTGCCCTATAGAGTGGTACCTCAGGTTAAGTACTTAATTTGTTCTGGAGGTCCGTTCTTCACCTGAAACTGTTCTTAACCTGAAGCACCACTTTAGCTAACGGGGCCTCCCGCTGCTGCCGTGCTGCCGGAGCACGATTTCTGTTCTCATCCTACAGCAAAGTTCTTAACCTGAGGTACTATTTCTGGGTTAGTGGAGTCTGTAACCTGAAGCGTCTGTAACCCGAGGTACCACTGTACTTGGAAGCTAGTTCCACTCTGCAGTGAACAGAGATCACTGCCATATAATAGGTAATGTCATGTGTAACCCATGTGCAATTGCAGTGGCTTACTGCCAATGATACACATGGCATGAAAGCATTCATCACTTGTGAAAGTACATACAGGTTTACAGGTTTCATGCAATTGCACATGGAAGTGATTTAAGAGTAAAAATGAGCCTCTAGTGAAATCTCGTCAAGAAGGCACACTTAACGGAGCAGAAGTGAACTCCAGGTACAAAACAGGAGCTGGCACCTGCATTTCATGGCAAATGATGAAGAAGGATTTTGCATTAAAGTCAAGGCTGCCTTTATAGCTGTAAGTGTTCCACGTGTACCAAAACAAAGAAGATTTCATACTGAAGAGTTATGAAAAATAAAAAGCATTTTTCACAGCTGTTGGGAATATTGCAACAGTTTAAAATTTATAAATATGTCCTTAAAACGCCCAGATAAATTTGAAGACCAGGACAAAACATAAAGAGTGGATGCAGATTTCAATGGATAAGTCTGAGATATCACTCAACCGCAGTACATAAGTCACTCCTGTTAATAACTTGAGAGAAACCAGGGCAACAGAAGAATAGAGGAAGAAATGCCCTTGCCCACCCTAGAATTTGAGTTACTTATCATAAACCTGAAACACTACTAAAAAGAAAAATCAGTGTTGCTGTCATACAAAGACAGCAATGCAGTTCACCTCCTGTTTTGGTCTTAAAAAGAAGTTTTATTAGCACACCCCCTAATCCAAGAAGGGGTTGAACAATTGCCTTCGACATAGTTTTGCCTATCTGGATCTCATGTTTTCAAAGGAAGAGATTTCACAAGCACAGCGCTCATGCCTGCAAAATACCAAGATTGTAAAACAGAATGGCTGTGCGCGTCTTTCATTCATTCAGGAAGCCTGTTATCCTACAATGAGGCGCTTCCTTCATAGCAACCTCCCTAAACAACACGATCTGCCGTCCTCCCCTCCCCAAAATGATCGTGGGCTAACCTGGCTCGTGAAAACAAGGCAGAGCACCCTTCCATTCCCTTCTTTTCTTTTCTTTTAAGGGCAACAACTTTGCTGCAGACGGGGCTGCTCCCCTGCTGGACCTCCTTCCCCTCTCCTGCCCACTTCGGTGAAGGGGCGCCCGCAGCAGAGCCCCCGCCCTGGCGCCCTACCTGTAAGGGATCCAGTCCGCCTGGTGCTTCGAAGTCATCGCTCGCCGAAGGAGCTAGCAGCCGAGGCAGGGGCAGCAGTCCCCAGGGCCGGGACGGGAGGCGAGCGGGCGGGCGCGGATCCCCTGGTCACAGCCCCCCACCGGCCAGGGCAGCATCCTTTACCCGGCCTAAGGAGCGGCGGCGAGGTCAAGTACATGGGGAGGAATTATCCAAGCGGGGCTCCGAAGAGCGGAGGCAGCATTTTCCGCGCGAGGGTCGCGCGCAGCGGCAGCGGCGGCGGCTGAGGGAGCGGGAGGCGCCCCTCGCCACAGTCCCTTTCAGCAGCGGCTGGCCAGTGAGTCGCTCACGAGAGACACGCGAGAAGGAGGCGAGGAGGAGCAGGAGGCGGGAGAAGCCGCGGCGACTCTGGCGACCCCCGAGCCCGCGTCCCGGCCGTTCTTGCCTCCCTTCAGCCAATCAGGGTCAGCCCGCGCGTTTGTACACAGAGCCGAAAAGAGACGCCCGCCTTGCCCCAGCAGCGCCGAGGCGCGGCCACTGCGCTACACTGCACTGCATTGCATGTTCCCTGGACGCGGCGGCAGCCGGGCCGGCCGCCTCCAAAACGCCTCCCTCCCTCCCTCCTTCGCCCTCGCGCCGGCCAATCGTCGGCGCCCTCCCTCCGGCCTGCCGGAGTTCCCCGCCTCGGCCGTCGGCGTGGCCCTGAAGGGGTCCTGCGCGCCGCGCGCGCCCTGTCTCCAGGAGGGTTGCGAGGCCAGTGTAGGCGCGCGCATCTTAGAAGCGGGGGGGGGGGGGTGGAAAGAGTGGGCCGGAGAAGAGGAGGGGGGAGCCGGGGGGGGGGCTTGGAAACTGCGCGCGCGAGGCGGGGGCCAAGGGATAAAGAAGTGGTGGCGTTTTCGGGATTCACAATGCTCTCCTGAGGCCCCTCCAAAATAAATACTGTAGATAAATAAACCATAGCTGTCAACGTTTCCCTTTTTTAAGGGAAATTCCCTTATTCCGAATAGGATTCCTCGCAAGAAAAGGAAAACGTTGACAGCTATGTAAATAAACAAACAAACACACCACAACCAATAATGCGTTCATCTTTGAGGCGCCACAGGACGACGTAGGAAGCTGGCTTCTACCGAGTCAGGCCATCTGTCCATCTAGCTCAGGATTGTCCTCACTGGCAGGCAGTGGATTTCCAGGGTTTCAGACGCAGGAATAGCATTGCCCTCCCAACATTTCTCTGACGAAAATAGCGACGTCCCATTCCTTAATGATAATTCTACTAGAGTCATACCCCGGGTTACAGACGCTTCAGGTTGCGCGTTTTCAGGTTGCGCACTGCGCCAAACCCAGAAGTACTGGAATGGGTTACTTCTGGCTTTTGGTGCTCACACATGCACAGAAGCGCTAAATCGTGCTTTGCACATGCGCAGAAGTGCTGTATCACGACCCGCGCGTGCGCAGACACGGTCCTGCGGGTTGCGAATGCTGTGGGCTGCAAACATGCCTCCCGCACAGATCATGTTCGCAACCCGAGCATCTTTATACCCCACACACATTACTGAGCTGCCCCAGCCACTCTGGGCAGTCTACAACATTTATAAAAACACCATGCAACATTAAACATTTAAGAAACTTCCCTTTACAGGATTGCCTTCAGACAGCTCAGGGGTCGGATAACTCCACATCCTCCAACATTTCTCCAATGAAAATAGGGGCATCTCAAGGAAAAGTGGGACATTCCGGGATCAAATCAGAAATCGGGATGGCTTCTCTAAATCAGGGATGTCGTCCCTGCATAATAGGGACACTTGGAGGGCTGGAATGGTCTTTCCTATCTCTGCCTGGAGATGCTGTGGGTTGCACCAGGGACCTTCTGCATGCTGTACCGCTGAGGTGTGACCCTTTCCTTCGTGAACATTCATCCAGATTCGTTCAGAGTAAGAGCAGGCATGGGCTGCTTCATGAGTATCCATTCTGATTTGTTTGTGGGGAGGTTAGATGGTGATGTGTCAAAAGGAGTGTTCTCCCATGCTTTCCGGTGCATTTCCCCTCTCTCCCTTTCCTTATCTCAAAAAGTCAGATCTTTGGGGATTGTTCCCAATCAACTATGGCTGCCTTCACGTGACAGTTTGTTCTGCTTCTCCTGTTAATCTCTGCATTAGTTTTGAGCTTTCACAACATGTCAAAGCCGCTTTCAGAAATCTAGTGGACGTTTATTGCTCATTTCCATGTTAATTGCTTCAAGGGGAAAACATTTGCAACCCCATTAAGAACGCATTCAGACTTAGAAAATATTGTGTTAATTTTCCTTTTTATAATGCTAGTGCTTCTGTGCCTTTTTCTAATACTGTATTCCTTTCACACTTATCCAGCATGGGTGTTCTTACAGTTAACGTCAGAAAAAACAGGCATGGCTGCATGTTTAGCAGCTACAACCTGGACATTGCTGTGTGAGCAGCATTCTGGTCATGTAGTGGGACTCATCCTCTGGAACAGATTTTGAGGATATTTCTGTTTTTACTATCTGAGGATCACAGGGCAGTTTATAATATAAAAACACAGAAATACGTAACACTGTAGGAGGCGAAGGGGAAGTTCTGTTGTGCAAATGGAGTGGCGGTGAATCCAAATGCAGCCATATAACAGAAAGGGTAAGAAGAGAAGATGGTAATGAGGATTAAAAGGCAGACTTCAGCAGTTACCATACCAGAAATGCCTGTAAGAGGTACTACCAGTCTTCTTTCTCTCTCCCACTCTCGACTAGCACTTTGTTCTGTGAACACTTTTGATTCTTGTCCCTCCAGTACAACAAACTCTGCTGCCAGAAAAAGCCACACATCCTGGCTGCGTGATACTGTTCCTTTTGTACATAAAACACTCTCCCAGTATTAAAACAATGCAAAGACTTGCACCAATTCAAATGGCCTAAAAGTTCAGAGAGAGGGTGAGATTTTATTTCATGTTTGCAAACAAATTCTTCAAGCAATCTGTTAAATTTTAAGGCACTTTCACATCCCACTGATACCATCATGGATTTTAAATACAGTGGTACCTCGGGTTAAGAACTTAATTCGTCCAGGAGGTCTGTTCTTAGCCTGAAGCACCACTTTAGCTAATGGGGCCTCCCGCTGCTGCCGTGCTGCGGGAGCATGACTTCTGTACTCATCCTGAAGCAAAGTTCTTAACCCAAGGTACTATTTCTGGGTTAGCGGAGTCTGTAACCTGAAGCGTATGTAACCCGAGGTACCACTGTACCTCAAATAATTCTCAGAATAGGGCAAGGTTAAGACAGACAATGCAACACAGAATTTTATTTCTGTCTGCCACATCCCAGCATTCAGAAGTTAATAGTAGTTGCAGGGCTGTAATCTGGAATTTTCGCATGGGACGCGGGTGGCGGTGTGGGTAAAACCTCAGTGCCTAGGACTTGCCGATTGCAAGGTCGGTGGTTTGAATCCCCGCGGCGGGGTGAGCTCCCGTCGTTCGGTCCCAGCTCCTGCCCACCTAGCAGTTCGAAAGCACCCCTAAGTGCAAGTAGATAAATAGGTACCGCGTTATAGCCGGAAGGTAAACAGCGTTTCTGTGTGCGGCACTGGTGCTAGCTCACCAGTGCAGCTTCGTCACGCTGGCCACGTGACCCGGAAGTGTCTTCGGACAGCGCCGGCTCCCGGCCTCTTAAGTGAGATGAGCGCACAACCCTAGAGTACGGGCAGGGGTACCTTTACCTTTAATCTGGAAGTTTAGAAAGAGGCCAGGCTTTATCGTCTTGGTCTTAAAAGCTTACAGTGTTACTACAAACATCAATCTTGACACAATTAAATGTGTCTGCCCTTGTATTATTTTCTTTCAGATTCATCACATACTAGCCTGGTGATAGTCTTTGTGGGTTTTCCATAGCCTCTCCCCAGAAAGTTGGGTTGTATTTAATTCTCCCTGACCTGCACCACAATAACAATGTCTTTGTGCAACAATGTACAGTACTCACTTCAGATAACAGAACCACAGACTTGTTCATTTATCATTGATTAGATTCTCACATTGCTTGGAGTAACTATCAACATCAACAATTGACAAATTCAGGAAGTATGTGTAATTCACTCCCTACAGGATTGCTGGTAACTATGCAGGCAGTTCTTTACATTTTTGTGTTGTTTTCTCAACTGCAGTCCAGCACATTAGAGCACCAAACTCTTGTTCCAAATAGAAGAAAATCATTCACACCTGGACAGAATAGCCTCATGAAAAACAGAGCAAAGACAAAGGATGTAGCAAATGAACAGCTAAAACATAAGGATCCACATCACAACTCATATTTCTGGCCTGCCACAAATTTTTGCCTGCAACAGGGCCTTCAATGTTGCTGCACCAGTTCTCTATCTTGAATTATGCCAGGCTCTTGCAATTGTGGGCTTTTAGAATATGTTGACACCCCTTTTCTCCCCCCCCCCCACTCAGGCTTTTCTAGCTTAGCATTCTTGTTCATTTTTCCACAACAAACAATTTGAGTATGCCTGGGGGGGGGGAGTTTTTTCATTGTTTCTTTTTCTTCCTTCCTTTTTTAGACACCGCTTAAATAAATAAATAGCTAAACAAATAACATTTATTTAGCAGCAACAGACAACTTTGGGATTCAATCAAATGGGTATGTGCATGTACCACCACTGGCGTACACACAGTAATATAATCTTTTTTATAAAAAAAAACAACCAAGCCTAATAACCTTTAAAGATACAAAAAGAAAGAGCAGCAGGTAAAGTGTGGTGTGTTTCCTAAAGCAGTGGTTCCAAATTGGTGGTCTGTGGGTGGAAGAAGATTGGAAAAAATTAAAGTATATTTACAGAAATATTGTAAAATTAATGAATGTTAGAAGGATGCTGGAATGAATTTACATGGTTTTAGCAGAAAGGTTATAAAGAATTAAGTAAAAATGGATTGTTAATAGGTCAAAGTGTAAAATTTAAGGTCAAACTGCGTTAAGATAAATTATAGAACGAAATCTGAGAAAGAGGGAAAGGACTTGCTGAAACAGCTAATTGAATTAGAATACAAAAAAGGGAGGTGTGAGGAAGTCGAGGAAATAAGTAAATGAAAGATAAAGATATGAAAATATCAGATGTGGTTTTTTTTCTTTAAATGTTTTTACTTTTAAATGTTTTTGTTTTTTGTTTTTTTATTGTTCTGCTGTACTGCTTTTTTTATTGTATTCTTTTTCATTTTTGAAGTATTGTAACTCTTCTATTGTTTGCTATTTCTTTTCTTCTTTGTAATTGTTAAACTTTAATAAATATCATTTTAAACCAAACTGGTGGTCTGTGGATTGCAGGGGCTCCGTGGCAGCATTCACATAACAATAACTACCATAGAAATATCAAAATTTTCAAAAGTAGAGGGTCCATGGCTTGGCTTTTGAAAAACAGGGGGTCCACAGTACTTAACTAATTGGGAACCACTGTCCTAAAGGTAAAGGTAAAGGGACCCCTGACCATTAGATCCAGTCGTGGCTGACTCTGGGGTTGCAGCGCTCATCTCGCTTTATTGGCCGAGGGAGCCGGCGTACAGCTTCCGAGTCATGTGGCCAGCATGACTAAGCTGCTTCTGGAGAA